CAAAGCAAGTTTTTACTTCCTTCCAAACAAGAGTTATAAATGGAAACAATAAAATGCAGTACTAAATGTGAAATGTCTGAAATTTCAACTGTGGTGTACCTTTAGGTTATTAGTCATAAAAATGTCTAACAATACTTTAAACAAAGTAATTAACATATGGTGATAGACATATGCTTCTACTCTGTCTCGGAATTGCTGCTGACAGAACTTTATGAAACAGAAAATACTAACAAGTTTTCTATTTGAAGGACTACAAATGAGACTTCTCATTTGTATGTACATGATTGGGAACTAGGTTAGAATTAAAAAAAAATCAAAGAACATATTTGCCTTCTTTTACTGTGTTTAAACTTTAATTTTTCTTTCACTAGTCTGCAAAAAATAGCGAAGCTTTGCGAAGTAGTGAGGAGATGGAAAATACAAAGAAATTTTTATCTTTGACTGCTGCACCTGAACAGACTGTTGGTGAGTAGATGGAGATGCCATTCATCTTTGTTTTTAATCTCAGAGTCATAACATTTTTGGATTAAAGTTAAATTCCCAATTCAAAATTCCACTTTTCTTGGTAAGCCCGACCCTTCTTTAGGGGAAATAACTGATCGCATTCAGTAGTGTCGTATGGGGCATGTTTCAGTTTCTTTAAGGGTTTGTATGTGTTTAAGGGTGACGGGGACAGGGCAGGCCCAGTGTGTCTTCCTGCTGCCTCCAGAGGAAATTTGATGCTGCCAATCCTCTGCCTAGGATTCTCTCCCCAGGTGTCTCTGGCCTGTGCAACCCTTTCATAAAAATCAGTTACCAGTTTGCCCTATTTTCTGTTCTCTCACAATCCTGTTTTTGGAGACCATCCAGTTGATTCTGACATAGCTTTCTGCTTTCTTCCTGTGTGTATATGTATTTTGAGATTTTTCTTTTTAAAACATAAATATATGGAGTTGTGTAACCTTTAACCTACTCACACAAGTGGAAATTCTAGGGACTCGAAGCACTTGGTATTTTCGGAAGGATACTCTGAAATCTTTAAAGCTGCATCACATAGGCAGTCGTCCAGCTCTACTCAAAGCAGGGAGCACTGGGATCTTTTTGTTCTTTATTCAATGATGTCTCTCAATTTAGAATCCTAAGAACTTAGTTCAGGTTAGTGAAACAGTTAGCAAGGAGCTTTGGCATGAATAGTATGACTTTGGGGTTTTTCCTTTCTGGATGCAGCTTTGAGCACTCAGAAACTGCTAGGGCAGTTTTGGTGAATTTTTTAGAGCTTTTAATGATATGAACAGCTTGCTGCGGCATGTGTGTCATAAGCTTGCTGCCTCTTTGCTAGGACTTGGGAGACTTGGGTTTGGAGTGTACCAAGTATTTCTTTTGAAGAAGGCAAGTGTTTGAGTTGCCTCTTTTATAATTAAGGACTTTAAAAAATGAAACTTTCTAGGTTTCCATTAGGTAGATCCATAGCTATAGTGACCTTATGGAAATTTACCTTGCTATTTATGGTGTCCTAATGAAAGCACCAATAAATATTAGCCTGCCTCTATTGAAATAGCAGGGCCTTTACTTTCTGCTTCTACTTTGTTACAGAAGTAACATATGGATAATCTATCTTATAAATATTTGTTTTCAGTTGCCTTTTTTTTCAAAATCAAATCAAAACTATGCAGTCCATCTAAGTTTGAAAGCTTTTGACATCTATATCTGGCTGATACCCATAGAGCTCACAGTTGTCTGTCTAGGGACACATGGCTGCTGTAGACATTTCCAGCAATGTCAGATTAGTACCACTGTTCTGTCATGGACAGCAGGTAGACCTAACGAGCCAAAAGCTGCAGCTACGGGAAGCTTGAAAGTTATATTCAGAGGGGCTGGGGATTTAGCTCAGCGGCAAAGCGCCTGCCTGGCAAGCGCAAGGTCGTGAGTTCGGTTCCCAGTACCGGAGAAAAACAAAACAAAACAAAAAAAAGAAAGTTATATTCAGAGAAGATCATTGCTTTAAACATTGTCATGTTAAAGTTTCAATTTTTAGATTTTGAATTCTTGTTGTCATTTATTGGCAGGGTGTGCACGGCAGATAAAATGTAAAAGGAAGTGAGAATAAAAGAAACCATTGGGTGAATCAAGTGTCTCACCCTTCACTCTTGCCCCTGGCTGTCTTGATTACTTCATACTTGACCAGGACACCAAAATGAGCAGTTTCATATTCTTGGCTTCTTTAGATATAACGAGTCTTTTCCTAATGACTGTTCTATTGCAGAAAAATGAGTTCCTTGATGAAATTTCCTGCTGGTTCTTTACATCATAAGCATGTATTCAACAGTATTGAAAATGTATTGACGCATATTTGATTATTTAAATATCTTAAAATATCAATAAAGGCATTCGTACATTAACAACCTAATTACATTTAAAAGCACTTTACATAATTATTATCTTATTCTAAGACAGGAACCTTTTTAGAATTATTAGCCTAAGAATAGTGTTACAGAATTATTAGCCTAAGAATAGTGTTAGTAGCAGAGTATTTTCACTGCAGGCCTGAAAGAAATGAGTAAAAATGCACAAGTCCAGCTTGACCACAGAGTATTGATTTTTGAAAGTCTCCTCATTCCTATTCCAACATAGCTACATATGACAGAGTGCTCCTGTCAGCTGTACTTGAGATGAATTTTACGATAACTCACTGAATTTTAGCTACTACTCTTAATTAAAATTAAAAAATTAAATATCTTTTTTTTTTTTGTACTGGGGATTGAATTTAGGACCTCACTCTTGCCAGGCAGGCGCTGCGCCACTGTAGCAATCTACAGAAATCATGTGACCCTAGAGAGACAAATGTGAGCTCTGTGGGTATCAGTCAGATACATATGTCAGGGCTATATCTCTGGCCCGAAAAACCTGTTTTGATTAAACCTACAGCTATAAACTTTTGAGTGAAATGTGTTAGGAAAACAGCAATGTGAAAAGCACTTGTAAATTGTCCAGTAGGTGGCAGCATCTAGTTATAGTAGTAAGGGCCAAGGCTCAGCGTTGGACCTATTGTCTACCTACTGACAGTCTAATGACTACTTTCTACTTTACTTTTCACTTTCCCCCTTCAGACAAAGGAAGAAATCTTTAGGAGAAACACTTTTCTTTGTCTACTATGGTCACTTTTCTTTAACCTTTTATTTAAGAGTTAACATGAAGAACTTGGGCTTGGTTGGTGGCTAGATAACAATTTCCAGTGTGCTTTTCAGCCCCCTAAACACAAAATTTGTCTCAGTCCCTATCTGATATCGCAAATATCACAGTTTGGTTGTTGCTGTGTTGTGCATTTAGTTTTATTTATAGGGGCTAAACACAAATGAGGCCTTGACTCCAAAGCAAATACGAAATCTACGTTATAGTGAATATGTAATGACCTCCATCTTGATTACTGAGGAGTTTTTCACTTTGTTTTTTTCATATTGGAACTTGAACTCAGGGCCTTCACACTAAGCCACATTCCAGTCTTTTATATTTTTTATTTTGAGGCAGGGTCTTGCTCAGTTGCATAGGCTGGATTCAAACTTTCGATCCTTCCTCAGCCTCCCAGAGTGTTGGAATTATGGTCATGCATCATGCCCAGCTAATTACTGAGATTTGGAAGTAAGCGATATTGCACTTGCTAGCGATCTCTGAGATATTTAAAAACACCGTCCCACCCCATTATTTAGGGGTCACTTTTAGGTATTTCTAGAGAAATGTAAAAATCAAAAATTTATTATATCAGGAGTTTTCCTCTAGCTTCCAGCACTTAGATACTGACTAGAGATAGAATTCAACATTCTCTGAGGCAGATACATCTGGCCGAAGGTTATTTGTTGTCAGTGTGTTTGGTAGAGATTATTCTTTTTGCCTCTGTTACATTCCTTTCTGGTGTTTCCTGCTGCAAACTTATCAAGCACAGGACATCAACATCTCAATGAATCTGGCTTTTCCAAATTTGTGAATAATGCAGTTCATGAATGTAATGTTGGAAAAGATGCACCACATGTGTGTTTGTGTAGGGAAGATGGCTATGGCTGTGTTTGTCACACGAGGCAGAGTTTGCAAACAGAAACAAAATTTTGCCAAAGGCTTCTGATTGCAGACAAGTTTTCATGAACCAGGCACCACTGATCTTTTTAGGTGTCTTTTCTGTGAAATTCAGATATATGATACTTCTGCTCTTGAATGTTAAAGTTAAATACAGATTTTCTTCAGGTATTTAACCTTAGCATTCAAGAGTAGAAGTATCTATTCTGTTTTGCAGAGGACTGAGGGAGAAAAGTGGGACACCTGTGCCAGTTGGGACAGCTAAAGAGTTTTGGTTTTAATCACTGGTGAGCACCCAGCATTGCTGAGCAATCTCTTGCCTTCTCCAAAGCAGCTGTTCCACACCGTTACTGTGTGGGTAGCCTCTCCTCTCCTCCACAAGACCTTGTCATGGTGGTCTTACCCTCCTGAGAAAACAGACCTCATGGGTGAGAGTCCCTTTCATCTTCTGTTTCTAAACGTCACTCTGACTGTGCTCCTCTGTCCTTCCCCCTCCGTTCTCCCTTTTGGTAGAGAGAAGGTTCTCTTCTCCAAGATCCCTACCACTGGGCTCCTATATGTTAATTATTCTCTCTCTGTCTGTCTGTCTCTCTAAGTTCTTAAATCTAGAGCCTCAGTCTTTCTTTTTTCCTGTAGCTCTTCCTCTTCAGTGTATGATGTTTAAATCCTTTAATCCTAAAACAGAATCAAAGAGCCATTAAACCAACCAGGGACCAACAAAACATACAAGCAAAACTTTCTGTCTGTTCTCTGCTTCATTCACAATCAGCTTCCAATCAGTTTCCCTCCTTTCCTTAAAGACAAAAGTTCTTGAAAGCATGTTCCATGGCTACTAGTGTTACCTGGTCAGCTTCCATTTTCCTCCCACTCTTTAGCGGTGGTCTGTGTCTTCTCCCACAGCACAGAAACATCCAACTGTAACAGCACTTGCAACTGTTTCCCTACTTGACATCTCTGTGGTTTCTCACACAGTAGCCGCCGATGGCGCAGTAAGATTTTGACCAGGTTATTCCCTGCTGGTTTTCTCTTTTTCTTCCTCCCTGTTTTTGAAATCTATACCTTGTTTTGTATATTTTACCTCACTCTTCTAAACTAGAAACTCAAGAACCATTTTTAGTTTCTCCCTATCATTCTTTTACATTTCTTTCCTAAGTAACAGTTCCTCAGTGGAGGATTTCTTTTACCATTTCTGTATATGACCTCTTTCCTTTTCATCATCAATGGCTTGATCCTAGTCTTCAGTCGTGGGCTATTCTAACAACTTTTAGTTTGTACTCTTGCCTTCCTGGTACCATTGTTTTCCTACCATCATTGCATTAGTTATCTCTCACCACATAACAAATCAACCCCCAAACATTGCATCTTTAAACAACAGACGTTTATGCTCTCCCAGTTTCAGCAGGCAGGGAGGAACTTCGCTG